CGGGGCAGCCTGTTGAAGGGAGGAGGAGGGGGGGAGGCGGAACGTAATCTCACTCTCAACTTAAGTCTCAATTTAGTCGCGGCTGGCGAACTACAACGGCCCGGGCGACACTGCAGCAGAGTAGGGGGGAAAGGGGAGGAGGCACCCGGATATGAGGCGAGGCTGAAAGTGAGGGGCTGGAGGTGGGGGATGGAGGTTCGAGGCCGGGGCCCAAGGGCCATCGGGGGCGAGGGTGGCAGGGTCACGGGGAGCGGCGGCGCCGACGCGGGACGTCCCGGGTGTGCGGTGTTCGATCACCTCGACCAGCTGACCTGGGAGTGGGAATGTGACTGTCGGGAGGGGGTGTCTCGTGCCGCGCTGTGCTGAACTTGCCACCCTATAGAGCTACATTCAGATTATTTGACCAAAAAAAATAAAATTGAACAGCGTACTCATAGAGAAAATAAAAAGAATAGTGTAATGATGAAAATGTTCACATTTTCAACAATTGTTCAAAGTCGTTTTATTTCCGAGCTCAGTCTTGTTCTCCGTCATGATTTAAAGGTTGACATCTGTTTGTGTTGCAGGAGATCATCCTGAAGCGGGCCGCCGACCTGGCCGAGGCGCTCTACAGCATGCCGAGGAACAACCTGTCGCTGTCGGCGCCGCCTCGCTCCCCGAGCAGCATGCCCTCCAGCAACGGCATGGCGTCCGGCTTCAACTCGTACTCGGGCCAGCTCGCCGTCAGCGTCCAGGACACCAGCGGACACGGTCAGTGGAACGAAGGTGCGCGTCGGCACGCGGGGCGCGGGGTGCGGGGCGAGGGTGGTCGGGGACTCCCCGTCGGGGAGCCGGAGGAGTAGAGCTTCACTAATGACTGCGACGTTTGGCTTGTGTAGACGATTACGGAGGGGGCGGCCGCGGGCAGGGCTCGAGCGCGGCCTCCACGCCGCACTCCACGACGGGCGGCACGGGGGCCGTGGGGGCGGCGGGGGCCACCGCGGCGGCGGCCTCGACGTACGCGGCGGCTCCGGGGGCGGGCGCGGCGGCCGGCGCCGCCATGGGCACCGCCATGGCGGCCGTCACCCCCGGCTACGCCAGCGCGTCCACGCCCCAGCTCACCAACCTGGGCTGTCCCTCCACCGGGCTGTTCGGCGCGTCCACCAGTAAGTGCGGCCCCCGGCCCGGGCGGGCCCTGAGGCGGGCCCCGCCCCCTCCAAGCGGAGAGCCTAGAGTAGAGCCCTCGTACGGCGTCTAATGTTGACATGTCTTCGACGTCTTTGAGGGTCAAACGCTTTTCACTGGGATTGGGCCATTATCAGGGTCTTGAGTAAAGGGCCCTTATCGGACCTCATATAGCACTGATATCCATAATCCACGAACTCTTGCAAAAAGGGTTAGATTCCGCTAATGAACTTTTGTTAGGCTCATTACTCAGTTCTTTACGTTTGCGATTAGCAATGCCGGGAGTGCTAAAAGTGCTACTTTCCCCGCCCTTGGCCCCACCTTTGCCTGTGTGTCTAGCCAAACCTTTTGCAGTGTTTGCCATTCTAATCCTGTGATTCACTCTTTTGCAGAAATGGGCAGCTTCTTCTCGTCGTCATTCTCCTCCATGAACCCCTTCACTCTGCAGACATAAGCTGGCTACACCGGGATTCACCTGCCCTATGAAGGTTAATACATCTCTGACGTTTGTTTTATTAGAGGAAATTCTATCAAAGTTTTGGACTAAAATAAAGTCATGTGGTTAAAAATTAAAAAAAAGAAATTGCTGTACAGTCTGTGAATATGCACACATGGGGAAATATGTGTATAGAATTCTCTGTGCGTGAGTAGTCATGGTACCTGTATGAACTAAGTGGTATCCAATTGTGTGATTAAGGAAATGTTTAGTGCAGTTTTATACGCAAATTATTATTCCTTGCTAGTGATGTATATTACCTTGTTACATCCATGGGTGAACAGGTATACAATTAGGTGATGTGAACGTGATGTATTGTTATTGTTATTGTTGAGTTTTTTGAGAAATATTTCTCAACTTCTTTATTGAGTACAAATATTTGTTTTAGTTAAAGTTATTATTTATTTACTTATTTCAAGAAGACACGTGAACTTAGAGAAAGATTTGTGTTACTCATTTCTTAATGAATGGTCAAAAAGCAATGGTGCAAACTTTTCAAGAAACTCTGTGAAAAATATTTCCTTTTTATTGTACTTATGATCATATCAATCAATTCCAGAAACATTCTAATGTAAAAACTATGTATTGTATTCCTCTGCTGTTTTACTGCTATTCTCTTTTTGTGATGAAACCACAAATCATCCTTTAAGATCCCTACACATATCTGTGACATCATAAATTTATTATGTTATGACATCTTTTTTTGTAAATAACTATATACATAAATATAAATTTTATTACAAAAGCAATTCATTTCATTTTGACAAATTGAACCTAATTCACAACTCCACAACGGCTGAGAAAAATAGTCTATAACAGCTTTTAGAATTTCTGCGAAGTTGTAATCACTTTTTAAAGTGAGTGAACATGGTTTCGAAAATCGGCTTTGAAGTAACAGAAGTTAAGTTAAAGTTGCCACAAAGTTAAGAAGTTAAAAGAAAAAAGATACATACACGTGCGAAGAAGGTTACGTCATAGCTTGCAGTCCGACAGCCAGGACATCGCTCGCTAACACTGTAGCTCCACCCGACTGTCGACAAAGTCCGCGCGGCGTTTTAAAGGCTTTTGCCTACAACAAACCAACTGAGTCACAAAGAAAAAACTAGTTGGCAGCCGAGCAGGGTACGTAACGAGTTAACCGACAGAAACTGGTGGCTCGGGGTTCAATACCCGGCCGGCGCGAATCTTCTTTGCTTTTCATCGCTCAGTAAAAAGGGTGGGTTAGCGGCCGATCGCGCTAAGGCGTCGACTGCAACAAGTGGCCAAAGGACCGACACCGGGTCGCAGCGCGTTTTTAATTTGTCGTTTCTAGTCTGTGGTATCCTAACTCACGCGTGGACACTCCCAAACTGTTAGCCCAGAGTTCTACTCCCAGCCAAGTCAAAAGATTTATTTTCTTCTCTTTTTTTCTCCCGTAACGAAGGACCAGGAAGTCACAAGCCAGAGATCCCCTGGCAGCCGAGCTCGCTAGGGCGTAGTGACGTGAGCAGACGTTCCAGTGTTTTACTCCTAGTCGGCGCGTTTTTTCCCCCGCCGCTTCATGTCTCCTAAAAGGCAGGACCGCGTTCCCGGCTACAACTGTAAATATCCTCGTCTGGCTAAGTTGGTAGAGCGCTTGCCCGGGACATAGATGATCTCTGGTTCAAATACCGTCCGGGCCCGGGTTGTTTTTTCCGCTTTGTAAGCATTGGCTTAGCTGCTGCCAGACAGAGCGTAGAAAGGCTCGGCTCTTGGAGAATGCTAACACACAGTGGCCTTGTGGCTCAGTTGGTGTAGTAGCGAGTAGCGGCACTGATGGTCGCGGGTTCGAACCCCGCCCGCGCGGATCATTTTTCCCACTCTCCATTCGACATCGGTCGTCTCAAGTCTAAAAAAACACGTCGCTAGCAGAGTGGAAAAAAGAGTTTCGCGGACGGGATTCGATCCCGAGACCAACGGTATCCGAAGCCCGCCCGCACCCAGAAAACGATATTCTTGATTTTAGAGTAACATACTAATGTTTAGTATGTTGACAGTGTATAATACGAACCAAGTATGTCATTCTAATCTT